ATATTCATAATAGCAACTATATTTACTATTTTTTCTATAAAGTTATAGCTGAAGACAACAAAAACCTTGAGGATTTTTTGTCTTTGATTTCAGTTTAATTTTTTCTCCTCTTGCTAGCATGTCTACTGAGCACTGTACCTGGAAGAATACTGGGCATCTGCAAAGACATTCAGGTACAATCCTTATTTCCCCTGTAGCTACACATCTTTTCTGTGTTGATGCTATTTTGAGGATTCAGAATGATTAATTCTACCTGTTTTGCATAGAAATGAAACATTCCCAGAAAACTATAGTTTGAAATTGCTTGTCTTTTTTTAATGGAAATATATTTTATGCTCATCCAAAAAAATAAAAACAAATATACCACCTGATATATGACTTTCACTGAAATGAAACTTTTTTTGAAGTTCAAACACGTGCAGTAAACTCCTGACATATGTCTGTAGAAATAGGATTATGGACTAAACTTAAGACTTAATAGTAAATGAAGAGATTTGAATTAACATTTTCTGAGCACTCAGCTGAATTCAACATTTTCTGAGGACTAAACTGATTTCTATGTCTATGGATTGGTTTGGGCTCTCAAACATTTAATACTTCTCTTTAAAATGTATTAAAATTCAGATATAATCAGTGAAATAACTTTCATCTGTGCCTCACAGCAAGAGAATGTATACTTCACTTTCCTTGAATGGCTTCTTAGAAAAATAACTGCCATCATTAATTGAACTTTCAACATTTTTGCAGCAGTGTCCTAGTTTATAAGAGGCGTTTTATATTCCTTCCTCTCTTTTGATCCTGCCTTTGACAGATATGGTCCAAATATTCATAGTAAAATGCTGTTTTACATGAAATAAAAGCTTATTAGTAGTTTCCACGCTGTCAGAGAAAGTGAAAATTAAAATAACAGTTTTTTGAATATTTAAGTGAGTGAGGAGAGGATCGATTAAGCAAGAGCAGATTCAGATAAAAAAGATACTGATATAGCTTACTGATTTATTTTCATTTAAAAATTTTTGCTCTTTCCAGCATGTATGATGTTATAGGAACTACAGTTATAAGAAACTATACAAAAATAGAAAATTATGAAGAAATCAAAATGCCAACTATTTCTCATTTCTTACCTTGAAAGAGTTCTTCCACCTGCATAAATGTATATCAATTACACTTAATAACTTCCTGGAAAATGCTGACTCCCAGGGAGAGAATCTTGTAAAGGTAGCCTGATTTTCCAGAAGTTGCATGGATCCTCAAACTAAATTATGAATAGTTCTGCTTTCCTGAATGGGCTATTCTGTTCACTCCAAAGAAAGGGCATATATGCCTCTCTTTCTTAGTTCTTCAGTCTTGGTTTCATACAATCCAGTTGTAATCACTTAAAGCATTAAAGAGAGACAAATAGCTCATTAAAGGTGTGGGTTGCCCTTCCTGGTGACCCTGTTCTCAAATGTTTCTCTGTTGTCTTATAGAATTCATGTTAGTGCCTTAAGCTGGTAGGCTAGCATCCAACTTTTACCCCTTTTTATTCCCTAGTTGTTTTGGTTTTTTCCCTCAGTAAATCATTTTCAATGTTAAATATATATGTAAGATTAGGAGTGTAAAATATAACCTTTTATGTAGTTAAAACTTTGACGAGTAGTAGTATTGGCCTGTAAAGTGTTATTTTATATAAATTCTAAACTGATTGTGTTTTCAATAATATATCACATTTGAATGGCAACTATGAAAGTAGTGTATTGATCTTGTATGTTGTCAAGGAAATATGATTTTTTCCCCCAAGGTTTTTCTTTAAATTAAAGTTTAAACCAGTTTATTATTCTTGAGAGGTAGTTTGGAGAATAAACTCCCATTTTAATTAGAACACTAATGAAAAACAAAACTGTCTTTCTTTTAGGAGAAAAAATCAATACTGTAGTTTAAACAGAAAGTGATAGTTTGAGGCCTTCTGAACTTTAAAAATATTTACATCCTTTTGACAATATGTCCAAATGCTATTTTAAACTACTGCATCTTGAAATTTAACCAGGATTCATTCATTACCATTTATGATAAAGAAATTCATCTACTGAAAACAATTTAGAATGATCATGTACTGAGCAAAATATATTTCCTTCTGATGGTAAGAGAACTGAATCTTAATATTTCAAGGAATCATTAAGTAATATTATATTCCATTCCATTTTACTACATCTATCCATAATAAATTTTATTAGCTACATTAATGTAATGAGTAATACATTATATCAACTACAGCAAAACTGATAATGTACCTGTCCAATGTAATTTTTTAAACACTAAAGTATCTCACCTGTTTCTCAGATGGCTCTAGACATCTGCTTGGGTGGCTGATTTGTTGTTCAAATATCATCTTTCCTAGATGGACATGTTTTAATGAGACTTGGAAATGTCAATGAACTGTCAATGAAATGTCAATGAAATTGCAAAGTACTGATACTCAGATCCTCACACACACTGTTTTCAAATGTCCTTAAACATAGTAGTTGTCTGAATCCCAACCTAGGATTTGAAGACAGGCATTTTAGTTTAGAAACATGTACACCCAACCTCATAATTCCATTATTTCAAGCCAAAATAATGCGATGATTCTGCATTTGCTGACATAGACACACCTTTCATAATGATGATCACTGCAGTGACTGCAGTGACTTCTAAAAAAATCCCAAGTCCTACTCTTTGAAGATCCTGCACATGCAGCAATGCTATACACTAAACAAGATGAGGAATGGAACTTCACTAGTCAAATACCCCTATAATATTTCTTTCTTGTGTTAGGATACTGTAAGGGTGTCCTTGCTTTGCTCATGCAACTGAAGAAAGGTAAGAAAGAGAGTCAAGAAAAAAGTGTGGCATAAGCTTTATGAAAACCAGAGGGATACTCTCCTTCCTCTACAGAAATAGAAGAAATTAGAACTTAAGAGCATGCCTGAAATAATTTTGAGCTATGAAAGAATAGCTTCAAAATGCTCATTTTTTTCAAGATCTAAAAGAAGAAAAGAAACCTTCTTACAGGCAACCAGTTTTCTTATTCAATCACTATTTCTCAAGGCAATTAGGATACAATTGTTACAAAATCACAAGAATTCCTACTGTTTTCTTGGTTTTTTTCTTATTTCCTTATGTTTTCCTAATATAAATATAATTGTGAATGGATTTCCTCTTAAAATCATTTCATCAGTACACAGCATAGGAATGTGGTTTCCAGAGCATGACTTCCTATCAGATCTCTGAACATCTTCTGTGAACAGGTTTTTACCACTGCTGTCTTTCTTTGTGAAGGAGAAAAATTCATGTCTATTAGGTCTGCCAGAATGAACTGTCAGGGCACTGTCAAGGCCAGTGGCTCCCCAGGGGAAGTCCCAAGGGGAAGGGCAGGGACAATCAAGGCTGTTGGTGCCCCCATGGTCTTAACACCTGTCCTTGTCATAGTGGTCATTCAAATGTCTTTTAAGAAGAACATCGATTTTCAAAGACTTATACTTTTAGACATTAAAGAAAAAAAAAGAAAACAAAAAAAAAAAACCAAAAAACCAACCTGCAGGAACATCTCCTGTCAATAAAGCTGTCTTTGCTTTCTTCATTTTCTACCATACACAATAACAGCCTACCTTGACAGGTGAAAAAGTCAGGTATCTGCAATTCTGTTCACGGGAAACTTGATTTAGTCTGAATAAGTAATAAAGTCTGACAGGTTATTTCAATTTATTCTGGGACTGAATATGCTTGTCTAAGGACCTGTAAGACTTAATGTGCTGAAAAGATTTAGGGATGCCTGTACATAAAATATTAGGCTAGTCAGAGTTAACATTACTTTTATGTTTGAACTACAAAGGACAAATAAGTTACTCTCAGCTTAATTCTTTGTAGTTTCTCTTCAGAGGAATTGAATCTCACACTGAAGGCTCTTGCTATGCAGACGGCTTACCTGAGCTGTAAATTCTATACATCGATTTTGAAGAAGAGCACTGGTTCCTTTTAAATCAATCTGTGTTGGTCTTGCATCACCCTCTTAGCTGTAGCATCCTATTGCCTTTCTGTGTCACATTAAATGAAGTAATCAGCACCTTTAACATCACATATACTTCACTGCAACGGAAGAGACTTTTCTTCTCTGTATTCACATTGAAAGTTCCTGACTCTTCCCAGTTCCCAGCAATCTTGGACTGAATATGTTTAACTTATGACAAGCAGAGTCCTAAGTAATATTTATGGATATTATATTAAATTGTTGTTGGAATATTGTAATACCAAGGGCCTAAACACTTGTAGGCAAATTTTTGTTCTGTTAACCAAAACCTTTGGATGCTTTTGCAGCTTGATGTTGTTTATAAAATGTTGCCTAAATCAGTCCAACCACATAGTTGTACTGCTTTCTTGCCATATTTCCATTTTTTCCCTAAAAATTTTCCATGTTCTTTCTTCCATTGGAGTGGTTTAAGCCCAGCTGCCAGGCTAAGCACCATGCAGCTGTTCATTCACCTCCCCAGCCCCAGGTGGAATGGGGAGGAGAATAAAAAGTCAAACTTGTCAATTGAGGTAAGAACAGTTTAATAACTGAAACAAATTAAAATACCATAATCATAGTAAACAATAAAAATTATAATAATAATAAAGAACCCCAAGGAAAATAACAATTGATGCACAATACAATTGCTCACCGCCCACTGTCTGATGGCAGACCCTGTCCCCAGGCCCTAATTGGTCCCTCTTGTAGGTAACTCCCCCATTTTATATGTTGGACATGACGTTCTTTGGTGTGGAATATCCCTTTGGTCAGTTCAGGTCATCTGTCTTGGCTATGCCCCCTCCCATCTTTTTCGTGCGCCTCCTCACTGGCAGAGCTTAAGGCGAAAAGGTCTTTGGTTGAGGATAAACACTGTTTAGCAACAACCAAAACATCAATGTGTTATCAACATTATTTTTGTACTGAATCTAAAACACAACAATGTACCACCTACTCAGAAGAAATTATCTCAGCTGAAACCAGGACCCACATTTATTGCATTTTTGCCTTGATATCTTTTCTTGCCAAATCTTGAGCTTATGGAAATTCAGCTTCACTCAGACTGTTCATCCTAGCATGTGTATACAGGATCCTTTCCACTGTCAGCGGAGGCATTTTTGATGTAGAGTGTTCTTTCCCTGGATTAAAATAAAGAAGTGTCCACTTATAGAGAAATTTATTGGTTGTACACTGATTGAGTGTTAAATCTATGCACTATTTATCAACACAACTTTTCTACTGAGTGATAAAGATGGATGCGAAGTGGAGCTACACTGAAAGTAAAGCAGGCAACACTGTCATGAAAAGGGCATACTTTCTTTTGCAAGTTGTTGTGCAGTTTGCAAGTGTGTTTGCAAGTGTGTGTCTGCAGTCATCAATCCACACATCCACAGAAAAAAGGAAAAGTAAAAATATGTCTGTAGTAATCAGAAAGAGGTGCTTCAGACTACTTCCACAGCAGTGTTGATTGCGTTTCCTAAATGTGCCTATCAAAGGGTTTGAAGTACTTTCAGCTGATTGCTTAGGCTGGATTCTATAGACTAAGACTCAAAATAATTTTATAACTCTCACCCCATTTCCATTGCAGTGTAATTCTGATTATGGAAGAAAAGAAAAAGTTTTGTCACCATTTCAGATATAAGATATACTGCCTCTCAATCTCTTCTTACAATGATTAGTATGCATATTAACATGTATCATTCACATTATATTGGTCTAAACATATGTTCCGGGTGAGGCAGCTATCATCTATAAATTTCAATAAATTTTTTAGAGAACTTCTTTTTAAGAGTTTAGGTAATAATTTCCTGCAATTGACATGATGTTGTTGACTGTTTCATTGTTATTCTTTAATTCCTTAGTAACTGGCTAAATATTCCATAGCACTGAAAATAAATATTATGCTGCTGCTTTTAGCGGTAGCAGTAGCACAAAATATAAAAACATTATGGTATTTATCCAGTATTGACAAACTAAACTACATGTATAATATTGCTGAGAAATGCCCTCACAGCTTTTCTTTTATCAGAAGAAGCAAATCATCAAGCAGATTTGTTTTTATAAAACAGATGTTTCCTTAAGGAATATAAAAAAATATGCAACAGATACATAAATGTTTTGCTTGCATCCTAAGGGGTTTTCAATTAGTACAGAGAACTCAGTCAAAGTGACTAAGGCCTTTACAGACAGATAAACAGTGATATTTTCAGATATATTTATTTGAGGAGGGTAGAATAGCAGCCCTGAGTTTACCATCGGACAGGAAGAAGAGGGAATGGAATACTAATGACACCACTTTCCCTAAATACAAAATGAATTGTAACCCTTCCCTCAGATCTGAACACATTTATGTGTGAGTTTCTCATGTATCTGCTATTCATACCCCGCCTTTTTGCAGTACATTCTGTGAGACTACATTGCAGAGGAATTCTGTGAATGCTTTTTGTTGTACATGGGCTGTTCCTATAACATAGATAAAGTAAACATGTCTTCAGATCTCCGCTGAAGAGCTTTCCCGAGATATTTCAAAAAATCACCTCTCCCGCTCTCTCAGGTTTTTTACATTAGTTTCTGATCTCAGCTAGGCTGATGGCTGTTCCACGCTAGACCACTTATCATTCTGTTAGTCACCTCTGCCTCTGATATGTCAGTGTACTTCAGGTACCATAATGACAAACAGCGTAGAAAAAGCTGATCTGCAAGAACATGTGGAAATTAATTACTTTCACCCTTCTCTTTGCTGTCACCGTAGTTCATAGTTAATTCACAAGTATTCACACACACAGGTCTGAAAATTATCTTGTTCATAATCATGCAAGATTTCTCATTATGCAAAATAGCTTTTTACCTGGACTTCTCAAACCGCCTTTGAGTGTGCTGTTAATGCCAAAATCTGTCACTTGAAATAATGAACCTATCAGGGAAAAACATATGATAATGTTTACTGTCAAAGAACTTAAATAGGTTGAGCCTATTTCTTACCACAAATCACAAATATGAAGTGATGACATGTTGCTTAGGAAATACTTCTTTCCATCAGCTAGTTGCAGCTATAATCAAACATTTATAAATCATGTCAACAAGGTACAAATCCAGTATTCAGATTTACATATGGGTATGTAGATAAATCTCTATTTTAGCATGAAACAACAAGTAAGTATTACAAAGCAAGTGAAGAAACCACTCTTGCTAACCATAGTTCCACCCACAAATCATTCTAATTCTGATTCACTCTTTCATCCATAATGGCAGTAGACGATTTCTTCAGAAATATTCTAATACTACACACAGTATCTTGTTTTATACAAGTAAATGCTGCTTAGTTGTTCAGTGTTCCCCTCTGCTTCCAATTCTCTATATCTCAAGCTATATGCCTATATGAGCTATGTCTCAAAATCTGACTCCAAGATTTATCACAAAATATTAGAATGCTTCAAGTTGGAAGGAATCTCTGGGAATCATGAAGTCCTATCCCCAAGTCAAGGCAGGTCCAGCTTAAAAATTAGAATTAATTCCAAAGTTTGATCAGATTGCTCAGGTTCACGTGAAGTTGAGTTGACTGTCTCCAATGTAGGTGACTCCACAATCTCTGTGAGAAAAAAGTTTCAATGTTTGAAACTAATGCCTAACCTGAACTTGTCATGCTGCAATTTGTGTTCATAGCCTCTTGGCTTTTGACCATTCATTCAATTCCAAGAAAAGTCTTCTCTCCATTATTTCAAGTGACAATCCATTATTGGGCAGCTTTCTATAGCAATAGCATCTCTCCTCAGTCTTTTGTGCTTTGGGCTGACAAGGACCAGAGAGCTGGTCCTGCCAATAACATTGACGAGCTTTAGCTTAGATGCATTAGGTTCCATGCCCATTACTGCAGTGTTCTCTAATTGATCCTCCTTCATTATGGGTAGTTAGTATTCACTGTGGGTAGTTCAGCATGTAAAGTTCTCCATACACACTCTTCTTTGTCCAGACTTGAGTGTTCAAATGCTTCAGCAGAGATATCTTTGTGTCAGATATCAAAGCTCTGCTTCAAGACAGAAAAAATTCATAAAAATTTTCCTTTTCTCACCATATGCACAATTTTCTAATGCTCTTCCAAAATCATTTGCCCTACATGATGAAATTCATAGAATCTTATATTAGTTGTGGGATGATGGATAGAGTTAAACCTAGACGAGACTCAGGATTTTAGGTAAAAAGCAGCTGCAACTCCCTGGATGGACTGAGGTAGACACGCTCCCCAATACAATGATAAAGATCTGCTCAGAGAAGCAGAATGGAGTGTGGAATGAAGTAGAGACTACGTGTCCCCCTCTCCATTCCCAGCAGAATGGGAGAACGTTGTGGTACTGAGACCGTACATTACCCGTCTGACAAGGGAAAATCAAGATGTTCTGCTGCTGAAGCCAACAAGCCTGTTGAATCCCCTCCTCATGTGCCAAGCCATGACCACCACCACCCTCCCATTAGGTACATCAATCGGAATTAAAAGGTATTTATGACTAGAGCCATTCAAACTCCACCCAAACATAAAGAAAAGAGAATAAAAGTAAGTTGGGGACAGAGGGAAACTGGGAGAAGATTTCCACTGAAACTGCTGGAATCAGTCAACAGGCTGTGCATATCTTCTCCCTTCCCCCAGAAGGATGTCTTGGGTGAGAAATATGCTCTACACACGTTAAATGTGGTTTTAGAACTAGAGCTTTTGCTTGTGCTTACCCTATAGCATATTAGTAGATTGCTTCATATCAGAGCTTGTGCTTGCTTAATATATGTATCAGTAGATTGCTTTAATCATATTTTTGCAGTAGACACTATCACCCACAACCTTCGAACCTTATTAATCTCTCACAATTTATGTTAATAAAAAGTGTTATTCCATAAACTGTTAAAGTGAGTCCTTGCAGTTGCTGGCAGCAGATAACACCTTGGCAGGATCTGTTGAGTCCCCCCTAACAAGGGTGGTCGAGGGGTTGATCTTGTGAATCTGTTGGTGAAGGGTCTCATTACGAGACACTGACAGACTGTTGGACACCAGGGTTTCAACTTTTCTGGGGGTACTGTCAGGCAAAAACCTAAACTCCCACATTTCACGTGACAGTAGTTATGGCCAATATACTATTTTGAAAACAGAAGAACCAAGACCAGATTTGTAATTGATAACATTTTCTAATTTGGAGTTAAAGATAAATGAGTTGAAGACAATTTGCACTGTTTTGCACAATTTGTAGTGTTTATCAGAGACGCTCTCTCTAAGTTAATACCTTACAGATTTAAGAATCTGATATTTAAATGATACATTTTTGAAAACTTTGATCACAAGCTAATTCCCAGCTGAAGATGTTCACAGCACTGGGCTGAACTCAGTAGCCACTTTTATTGGTACACAAGAGGCAGCTTACAGCAACAAACAATAGCTTGTTGCTACTGATATTCCAGGTGGGGTTTTTTTGTGCTTCCACGTCTTTAATCAGAATTAATTTCATTTATCATATGTAGAGCTATAATGTTCATTATGTGTAGGATTACATTAGAATCTGTAACATGATTCTGTTAATTTGTGATGTGTGCTTCAACTTTATCCTCAACTAGAATAAATTGTCTTTTTTATCTGTGGAATAAAGATTTGAGGTGGAAATATTAAAAATATATTTCCCTAGAGCAAAACCAAACTTATGATTTCCTTCTTGAAATGGATTTAATTGCACAATAGAAAGAGGTGTTTCATGGTTATTTTGAATTTGTTTTATTGTACAGAAAAGTTCTATGAAAGTTTTCCCTTTCTTCTTCAATTCCTTAAAGGGCAGAAAGAGTTCAGAGAAGCTATAAAGAAATAAGTTCTGAACATTTGCACTTTTGTCCATTGCTATTTTATTGAGACCTCAAAGGCAACATCAAGGGAGTAGACAAAATGCTTTAGTTTTTAGTTGTATATAGATTTCCTATTTAATCATAACATGCAATTACTGTCATTTTATATTTTGAGTTATTTCTACTGTAACAGCAAAACATAAACTTTATAAATATCACGTTTTCTTACATATTCTACAGTTTAGATAGGTGGTTTCTTATTTTTTGTGCAAGAGAGTGAAATAGATACCTAAGTTCATATTGAAAGTCTGCAGTTTCACTGAAAAGATAAAGCATAAGTAATTGTCTACACAGAGAAATAAGCAGTAGAAGTAATTTTGTCCCTATGGCACAGCAAAATTCCTGAATAAGTGACTTCTGAAACAGAGTAACTAAGTTGAAACAAAGAATCGACACAGAAAATTATGATTTTATAGTTGCATCATTTTATTTTTAAAACCTACAAGCCAGTTTCTCTGTGCAATGAATGCCTTTATTTTTGAACCCCTATTAAAAATGTGTTTCAAAGAAAAATGTGACTGCATAGAACACAACCCTTCTTACATCAATCCTGAGATCTGTTGCACTGAACAAAATAGTATGCACTGCAATTTCCTGCTGTGTTTGGAGAATAAAGGGATCAGAGAATCTATATTTTAAACGTAATTCGAAAGTCAGGTTTGCAAGTGTGCATTTTTCAATCCTCACTTTTTCCACATAATTACACTTAATTACTGTTTGCAAGAGTAAGCAAAAGAATACAAGTGAGAGGCTTATCAAATTCTGGCTCCTAAATGCAGAGCTTGTCAGTAATGGGTTGAATCAAAGTTTTAGCCTGCAAAATTCAAATCTGGAGTTTAAAGATGAGTTTCACTGATGTAGCTTCACCATGTAGATTTGTGAGTTTCCATCAAAATATTTCTTTCTCTTTTTACCAGGAGTAAAGAAAGACACAACACACAGGAAAAAAAAGTCATATACAATGTATGCATATATGATGTGGATAATCATATAGATAGCTGTTATGACCTAAGACTATGGGTGTGCAGAGAGTGCCACACTGGGCTCATAGGATTTCTTAATACACAAAGACATGGAAGCTTTTATCCTCTAAATTTCTCTGCTTTATTGCAGATTATCACAAATCCACAGAAATCACCACTAGAAAGTATACCTTAGATCAATAAAGCAAATACATATAAATATATCAAGCTATTACAAATTACTATCAGCAATCAATAATTAATCAATGTCAATCAATAACACGACAGTGATCAACTACAGCAACAAGCAATCCTATGGCAACAACCAATATAATAACAGCAACCAAGTAGGTACATTACAGGTTATAATTAACTTATTAGTGAAGAAACTTATCAACAATATTAAAGCAATATGCTTATGATAGATTACTTTTATGGATATATATATATAGAAGGGGTATCAAGTGAAGTGTATTTCAGAAAGGGTGAAACCATCCCAAGGGGAGGATAAATCAGTCCCAAAGTTGGATCCAACCATCCCAAAGGTGTGAGGACAAACGAAACTGACCCCAAGGTGGGACCAAAGTGGACACAATGAGACACAGAGTCACTTCAAAGAGGGTCCATGTTGCAGAGTCCGGAGTCATCTGGGCACTCTTAGTGAGTGTCCAAAATCTTGTAGAAAAAGTTCATGTGAAATTCAACCTTTTCAGGAAAGGAAAATTAATTATAGAATGTGAAGTTCTCAGAAAAAGAAACTTCATTTTAGATAAAAATGAAGCTCTTTTTATAGCCTAAAGATATAAGAGGGAGTAGGACTACACCACTTCAAGCAGTCAATAATGTTGTTAATTTTGATTTTTCCTCTGCAACAGCCAATAATTAAATAATTAAATTACGCTTTCAGTTCTTCAAGACTAATTTTATTTTCCCTGGCTATTTCTACTTTTTCAGATGATAAATTGTCATTAGAGCTTCTTGGTTTTGTTTTTACTGATGGTATCTCAGGATGTCTAGAGATTCTTGATACCCCAGCTGTCCTCCAGAGTTACCAGATGCATTTTTTAAGGACATTTCTGGT